TCAACCTCACCTGTGGTCAAGTTTTCTTTGATTTGGTCGTACAGTTGGCCAAACCATGCTGCTGTGAACGATACCCGTGCGAACGTATCAGGGTACACACAAAGAATGATTCGCTGGCCCTTCGTCTTGTTAAATACAATACTAAATAAGATTTCACTGTTACATCATGTTCCCTACCCCGAAATTACCATATCTGCAAACGAAAACAGCCTGCACGTGGTAATTATTCACAAAATCTGCACTATTGCTCCCTTGCATTCAGTGTATTAAACACCAAGTGCAAAGCTGAATGTTTACTATAGATGCAGGGTGACAGATGGTGAAATCACGTGAAGTGATGTCAGTGGGCAACAAGAAAGCAAGCAGCAGCTTTGTGCCTGTTTTCTTTTATGACCGAGTGTGCTGATACCTGTCACCGCCTTAGCTATATAAGCAGTGCCTTTATAATACACACCTTTTTGTTCCGTGCCGTTGTGACTCGCACGCCAGTTCATTACAGTGGCGACGAGGCACGGTCTAACCCATGCGTGGGCCGTGAGGTACAGTGTGGCCGTCGGTAGTCGCATTCGAAAATTCGACCTGAATAAAAATTCGTCGTGGGTAGAGTATGTCGAATGCACTGAGTTGTATTGTGCAGCGAACAAGCTCACAATGGATGAGGACAAGCAAACTGTGTTGCTCAGCTGTTGTGGCCCAGCGACGTACTCCCTCATAGTGACTTGCAAAGCCGCCCCGACTGCCAAACGTGGATTAACAAGTCATCTTTGATGCCGTGAAGAAGCACATCAATCCGACACCGTCCAAACTATACGAAAGGTACATTTTTTCTAAGCGAGACCAGCTAGAGGGGGAGGGCGTAGCGGACTATTTTACTGCTCTGCCCAAGTTTATCTGATAACTGCGGATTCGGCGGAAGAAAATTTCCATTAGCGGGGATGTTGTATGACCGGTTGGTTTTTGGAATTTCTGAAAATGTGGTTTAACAACGATTATTTGCAGATAAAAATCACACATTTCACAAGGCATATGAATTAGTAATCACGACAGAAGCAGCGGCAAAGCAGTAAAAAGTACCAAATTTTTCCACGTAATGAACGCGCTTTTTCTTTAAAAATCGGAGCAAAGTTGAGGTGCGTATATTGTGTGGGGCAAATTTTATGAAAACTTTTTTTGGGATTAGCAAAAAATGCGGTAATGCAAAAAAAAAAGTTAGGTCGCTTACTTTTATAATTGACATGTACGAAAACCGCTTCTTTGTTGCACTTTACTCATCTTCGGTGGTTGATGGTGCTATATTCCGCAAGCTGTCCCCACCTCGCCCGTGTATACCATAAAGGTGTCTTGCGGCTATCTTTTTCACAATCGTTTAACCGCAACATTGGTATCTGTTGTGATCTCGAGGGGCGGCCAGAAGTGTGCGCTACGACGCTACGATGCACTTTGCCAACTTTGCGGCAACCTCACACGACGACTGCGCCGCAGCCGTTGACATTGTAGCAGCTAACGAACAATGCAGCAAGCTACCCCCGAAGCATCAAAACAAATCATCAATAACAAGGTTAACAACAAAATACGGTCGCCGCCTCGCTTCTACATGAAAAGTTCCTGTACACGTGAAGAACAAGCGAATCAAGAATCATGGGTGCAACCATGATGTGAAAATTGTCATGATCTTTTCTGGGTGATAAGCAATTTTTTCTGTCTTTCCAGAAACCTGCAACGCAACAGCGACTACTGACCCCTCGCGACAGCAAATCCCATTGTCGTCGCTCGAAAATCGCGTGCCCGTCATTCCACGGTAAAATTTCCTATTTTCAGGAAGTGCATGGGAAGTTTCGTGACCTTCGCTCACTGTATGCTTATCAGTTGCGATGTCTTACACTCACACCGTTCGTGAACCCCGCTGCGGCACACGGATGGTAAAAAAAAAAAGACAGCGAATGTGCAGCACGCAGATAGAAAGAAGAACAATGCGGCGCACGGCAACAGGCGAAGGGGGGTGAGCAAGCCAGCCACGGTGGGTAATAAAACAGAAGACATCCAACGAGTAAGAAGGCACCAGGTGTTGATTAGCGGAACTGCTGCGGATGAATGCCGGGAGTACGTTTATGTCGGGCGCGGGGGAGACCAAATTTTGACAACTAAGTTGGGGGTGCGTTTATTATGTGAGTGCGTTCATTACGCGAATAAATATGGTAATACGAAGCAGTGCATAGAAGCCGGAGTTCCAGCAAGAGTTGGCAATGAAAGCTGACGTGGAAGCCAACAAAAAGCAACCAAACAGGCAGCGGGGTTCTTTTCGCTGTTTGGGGAAACATGCAGGATAAGGTTGCAGATACAAATATTCAGTGTGTTTCAACTGCGGTGAAAAGAGGCATTTAGCAAAAGCATGCTGAAGAAAGCGAGCAAAGGTGGAATCTCAGCTCCAGGACAGAAAATATTCTGTGAAGAGCGAGTAGGATGACTTGTTCAGTATCAGCAAAATAAAAAGCGCGACACCAAAGCACCTCATCGCTGTAGAAAATGCAAATAAAATTGTGCCGATGGAAGTAGCTTCTGGAGCTGCCAGGTCGATTATCAGGGTGAACAAATTTCGAAAGCTGCATGTGGCAAAGCAGATCAAGGTGGACAAGTGCGACACGCCACTGGTGAGCTAAACAAAGGAAGGTCTGGACGTGCTGCAAAAAGCGTCTGTGCCAGTGAAGTTCCAAACCGAGAACTGCAGCTGCTGCTACTAATACTGAAGAATGACGGGAACACTCTACTGGGCCGAAATTGGTTCCAGTCATTGGGAATCAGCCTAACAGGTCTTCATAGCAATGTTGGACCTCAAGGGACGGTGGAAAAATTCGCAGACGTGTTCAGTGAAACCTTTCCAGGTGCTAATTTGCCACGCATCCACATCAAACTAAAGCAGGTCGCCCAAGCCGGTTCCCAAAATGCCACAGCATTCCATTAGCCATGAAGAATGATATCGTTGCAGAGTTAAATTGCCTAGAGGAACTGAAAATTTTAAAACCCACCCAATAATCAGACTGCGCAACGCCAATTGTTGTGGTGCGAAAGAAGGATGGCCCCCTACAATTATGCGGGGATTTTATAAGCATGGTGAACCAAGCCATAAAAAGTAATGTATACCCATTACCAACAAGCAAAAAATTGCTTGCCAGATTAGAAAAGGGGAGTGTCTTTGCCAAACTCGACCTGACGCAGGCCCATCAGCAATAGTGGATGAAGACACGGCGGAGTTGCTCTCGATAAGTACCGTGCAAGAGCGGTACAAGGTTCGTCAGCTGCCTTTTGGCGTGTCTGTTGCCCCTGAGGTGTTCCGGCCAGCACCATAGACATGGTGCTGGCCGGAATACCGCAAGTAGCTGTATGCCTGGATGACATCCTGATTGCCAGCAAGTCTATCGAGGAACATGAATGGATGTTTGCCGAGGTCCTCAGCCAATTGTCCAAAACCGGGCTCGGAGTCGAAGCTGGTAAGTGCAATTTTTTTAAGGATAACCTCAAGTTTCAGGGATATCGGATTGATGCTAAGGGCATCTATCTTTCAAAGGCCAAGGTGGATGCCATTCATGAGGCTCCTGGCTCAAAGAACAAAACGAAACTGCAAGCCTTTTTGGGTATACTCAATTTGTATAATCGTTTTTTAATGAGCAGGACAGAAGTAGATGAAAAATTGTATCAGTTGTTGGATAACCATGTACCATGGGACTGGGGTTAAGAGCACCATAGAAGCGTTTGAGAGCCTGAAAAAGTTGCTGGCCTCTAACTTGTAACTGGTGCATTTTAAACCAGATGCCCCATTAGTGCTGTCATGTAACGTCTGTGGGAGTGAGGGAAGTTTTGGCTCACCGAGATAACGAAGGAAATGAGCAGCCTGTGGCCTATGCGTCCATAACATTATCTAAGGCCAAGCGTAATAATGAAAAATTTCTCAGATCGACCGTAAAGCTCTTGCCGTAGCAGATAGGGTGCGACATTTCCACCAAAACTTTTGTGGGCGAAATTTTATTATTCTCATAAATCACAAGCCCTTGCTAGGAATCTTTCAGCATAAAAAGCGAATTCCAGCTGTTCTTTCACCTCTCATGTTACGGTGAACTCTAATGCTATCAGCCTATGAATACGCGCTAGATTACAGAAAAACCAAGGACCATGAAAACGCAGATTGCCTGAGTAGGTTGCCGGCAATCCGACAAGAGGCTAAAGACCTGGTGACATAATTTTACTGGAAGTATCCCCCAGCAAGCGCACTAGAAATGGCAGAATATACCAGCAGTGATCCCCAACTGTCCCAAGTGAAGCAATGGATCCCGAGGGCTGGCCACGCGAGCGAGTAGCCCCGAAGTATTCTGTATAGGAGGTGAAACAAAACAAGTCTGTGCATCGCAACTGCATGCTCTAGGAAAGCCGCGTAGTAATTCTGAAGATTAACGACAAAATACGGCTGCCGCCTCGCTTCTACATGAAAAGTTTCTGTACACGCAAAGAACAAGGGAAGCGAGAATCACGGGTGCTACTCGTAATTCTAGACGGCTGCGAATAATGCTCTTGGACAGATTCACCAGACAGAAGTGTTAAATCTTATGCATGCTAACCATCCACAAGTGATGGCCATGAAGATTGCTGGGTCGTACGTGTGATGATCTCATATGGATGGAAGGATAGAAGAGCTAGTCGGGTGCGGCAGGCCGTGCCAGGTAAACAGACCGAGTGAACCAAAGACACCAATGCATCTTTGGACTAAGCCAGAACGACCCTGGAGGTCCCAAAGCTGTTGGGAAATAAGTATATTTATCCTTGTTGACAATGCCTTCATTGTGTTATAACCCATATTGTCTTCTCCGAGATCTAGTGCTGTACCCTCTCGTTTGGTGGTCGGGGCTGCTGTCATTGGACAGCTTCTTTCTCGGCAACCTTTTTTCACCATAAATGTTTGTTTTCGGTGAAAACAAAGTTCTTTGATATGATGAACTAAGTGTAAAACTCACTTCCAGGTACGTCTGCACCAGGGCAGCAGCAAGGCCTGCAGGAAGCTGTCGGTCGGCTAACACCAGCTCGCGCAAGGTGGCATTGCGCAGCTGGTCGCGGAGGTCCGGCGGGAAGGCTGCAGAGACTGCGCGGAACTGGTGGTCACACAGCACTTTCCATAAGCCAAGCAGTTCGGCCGTGTGTGTTACCAGCTGCAGCAGCTGGCTCAGCGAGGCCCATTCACGAGATGCCGCCTCCGCCTGCGAATCCCCCCCCCCTTCAACTTATCAGAGGTGTGTCCATAATCGAATGTTTCTCAAGGAGACGACAAAGATCGCACAGACAAATAGAATAGAACATGATGAGCTTGAATTCATTCACACAAAAGTATAGCATGTGAAGTTCGATGAAGTATAATTGCTAGGCATTGTCAAGGCACTGTCATCATCAAAAGGTTGTTAAAAGGTGCACATAACATACTGTGTTGATTTAACAAGAATATCAAATAACAAATCACAGTAAAATATGCACCTGGTCTATATTCCAGCTAGCCCCGTGCTGAAAGTATACGAGCTTTGTTAGAAAAGTATCCGACCTCCTTTTATCCTTTTTTTTTTTTTTTGCGAGCACCAGATAGACTTAAAACAAGCGCACTTGATTGATTGATATGTGGGGTTTAACGTCCCAAAACCACTATATGATTATGAGAGACGCCGTAGTGGAGGGCTCCGGAAATTTAGACCACCTGGGGTTCTTTAACGTGCGCCCAAATCTGAGCACACGGGCCTACAACATTTCCGCCTAACAAGCGCACTTCCATCAGCCGAGCTTGAACCTTCGTGTGCATGCGTGAATATTTCCCCACCCGTCAATAGCGTCAGTCGCTGGGACACAGCGATTGAGTGTGGTAGTGTGCAGTGCTCTCGTCGGGTTTTCATTGCAAGGAAAATGACGGAGCGACTAGAGAAGCGCTATTGCATCAAATTTTGCCAGAAACTGGGCAAAAGCCAAGTGAAAACCATTGGGAAGATCAAGACGGTTTTCCGTGATGACGCTATGAGCCGCACACTGATTAAGGAGTGGTACAACTGGTTTAAAAACGGCTGTACATCAGCGGAGAGCGAGCCACGCTCCAGTCGGCCATCAACATGTCGAAATGACCTGGTCATTGTCGAAGTGAACACTATGGTGATGTGGAACCATTGTGTGACTATCCAGGAAATTGCAGAAGTAGGCATTAGCACTTTCTCTGCACATTCCAGTATAATCGAAGATTTGCCCATGAAGAGAGCTGCGGTGAAATTCGTGCCGAAACTGCTCACGGTGGGGCAAAAACAACTTCGTCTTGAAGTCTCACAGGACATGCTGGATTGCACAAGTAACTAACTTCATGAACACCATTATCACTGGTGACGAGTCTTAGGTGTACGGGTACGACCCGGAAACCAAATACCAGTCATCACAGTGGGAGCATTCCACATCACCAAGGTGAAAGAAGGCCCGCCAAGTGTGCAGAAACGTCGAAGTGATGCTGAGTGCTTTTTTTGACTCCCGCGGTGTGTTACACCACGAGTACGCCCCAGGGTCAAACAATCACCACATAGACCAGGTGGAATAGGGAGGAATGTCCTCCGTTGCCTACGTGATGCTGTGCGGCGCAAAAGACCAGAGTTGTGGTCAACAGGAAACTATCGCATCCATCAAGACAATGTTCCTACACATTCCTCACACTTGGTTCATACTTTTTTTGGTGACAAGTCAGACTTCTGTATTTCAACAGGCTCCTTACTCTCCTGATATGGCCCTCAATGACTTCTGGCTGTTTCCTAAACTCAAGAGGACATTGAAAGGAGAGCGATTTCGGACAAGGGAGAACATTATGCCTGCAACGACAGCTCAGCTGAACTCCATTCCAAAAGAGGCCTTCTCAGAAGGCTTGAGGTCTAATGCAGGGACAGAAACTGATTCATTGGCATCACTCTCATGGACAGATGCAGCTAGATTGTCAGCCAATACATTTCCTTTAATTTCGCGGTGTCCTGGGACCCAACGCAGTACAACATGCTGTTTGAGTGTGTAAATGGTAGACAGCAGTGAGTAGAGCGGCACAATAACAGGGTTTTTATGTTTCTTAAGGCTTTTCAATGCTTTTAGAACACTTCATGAATCTGTGTATAAAACCGAATTGCCTAATTTTAATTGCCCAATGTGCTTAACAGCAGTATCTATGGCATACGCTTCTGCAGTGAAAATACTTTTGTAGGGGTGCAGAACGCCGGCATTCTAAAAGGATGGGCAAACCACGGCATAACACACTCAAGTGTTTTCGAAGCATCAGTGAAGCATTCAGGGTAGCAATATTTGTTCTGTAATTAAAGAAAATGCATGTGGATGTATGCGAGTGGTGCGTGTTTAGTAACTCGTACAAAGGACAGGTCACACCCGATAGCCTGCCATTGCCACGGTGGAAGCTCCTTTGCGGGAGCTTGTGCTCAAGTGAAATACCCATTTCCCGTGCCAAGCTTATTAAACACAGTGAGTACGGCTGTCTCACTCGAGGACGGTTATGAACAAAGTGGAGCTGGACAAGTCACTTATGGTAGGGTGTGTGGGGTGTTCATTGTTTGCTTAAACTTTTTAAAAAAATACATGGATAATAGGTGTGAAGTCTGCAAATGAAGTAACCATTCATCAGATTCCGCATACAGACTTTCCACAGGGCTCGTCCTGAAGGCAACTGTAGAGAGGCGAATGCCCAAATGGTGGGCAGAATCCGGCATCTTTGGGACAGTTGATGAGGCAGACTAATACGTTATGACATCGTAGTCTAGACGTCAGCGAATAAGGCTCTTGGACAGGTTTAACAGGCATTTTTTGTCACTACCACTCGTACAGCGAGACAGCAGAGGTTCATTAGTTTTCAAACACTTGTTTTTCATATGTTTTATGTGTGACACAAAGGTTAACTTTGAATCCAGAATCAGGCCTAGAAATTTGTACTCTGGCTCTACTAGTAGTTGTTGGCCATGCAGGTTGATTGCGGGATTTGTGTGGAGGCCTCTCCTTCTAGAAAAAAGGACACATGTGCTCTTTTGAGGGTTTAACCTGAAGCCGTTCTCGTCTACCCATCGGGATACCTTGTTCAAGCCAAGCTGTACCTGCAGCTCACATATTGCCAGATTGCTGGACTTAAAACCTATTTCTACATCATCCACATACGAGCAATAGAACATGTTGTGCGGGATGAAAAAATGCAAGGAATTCATTTTTAAAATAAACAGAGTGCAGCTAAGCACACTGCCCTGTGGTACTCCTGTTTCTTGGACAAACAGACGTGATAAAATATTTCCCATTCGAACACGAAATGTGCGGTTCGACAGGTAGCTCTCTATGATACTGAACATTCTACCACATATGCCTAAGTGTGAAAGGTCTCTCAGTATTCCAAACTACCATGTTGTATCATAGACCTTCTCAATGTCAAGAAATACCGAGAGAAATAACTGTTTGTGGACGAATGCATCGCGGATTGCAGTCTCTATATGTATTAAATGATCAGTCGTAGATCGCCCCTCTCGAAATCCATGCTGGTATGGATCACGAAGATTGTTAGAGTCTAGAAAGTGTAGCAGATGCCTGTTGATCATCTTTTCTAATACCTTGCACAGACAACTGGTCAAGGCTATAGGCCTGTAACTGGAAACGACAATAGCCTCTTTCCAATTATAATAGCCTCTTTCCAAGCTAAGAAAATCTCACCGGAGAACCATGTAGTGTTATAAGGGCAAAGAAGGGTTTTCTGTGTTTCAAAGGGTGTTTTACCATTTCGTACATTACACGATCAGAGCCGCACGCTGAATCGGTGCAGCAACTTAGCGACGCCTGCTAGGCAGAATGGTCCGTTATATGATTCGTCTGTTGTGGATTGGCACTGGAGTTTTTGCCTCTGAACTCTTGTTTTGTATCTTTTAAATGTTTCAGACTAATGCGATGAGCTGGAAACAAGCTCGAAGTACTGACCGAGGGAGTTTGCTTGGTCTTCCAGGGTGTCACCCTGCACGTTCACTAAAGGAAGCGAGAATGTTCGTTGCCCTCTTATTCTATTAATGCGGTTCCAGGCTTCGTCGGTACAGGAGTTAACTGTTGACAGAAACTTTTTCCAGCTTTCCCTCCTAGCCTGTGGGCGCATTCTCCTCCCTTGGAATTTCACTTGCTTGAACGTTTCAAGATTTTCATCTGTAGGGGAGTTGCGCAGCAGTCTCCATGCCTTGTTTCGTTTCTTTCGAGCCTCACGGCACTCGTCGTTCCACCAGGGGACACAGTGTTTTCTTTCTTGTCACCTTAGCTCTTTCCCGTATGAACTGAGAGGCAGCGTTAATTAAAAAAGTCGTAATATACTCAACTGCCTTGTCCATGTTAAAAAAAGCCAAGTCTGCCCACGACATATTGGCAAGTTTGTGAAATTCTTCCCAATTTACTTTTTGAAGTTTCCACCGAGGAGCCAGGGGTGGACATTCATTTGTTCGATGTGTTTTGAGGAGTATCGGTAATTGGTCACTCCCATAAGGGTTTCTAACCACTTCCCAGTTAAAATCAAGAAAAACAGATGGAGAAACGATGCTGAGATCTATGGATGAATATCTGTTGTTCGTGAAGCTATTAAATGTGGGTTTTATCTTGTTTAGCAGATATGCCCCTGAGGAGAAAAAGAAATTCTCAATAAGGCGCCCTCGTGCATCAGTGAGAAAGTCGCCCCACAGGCTGGAAGTGAGCATTTAAATCGCCTATAACAGGTAAGGTTCAGGCTACTCATCTATAAAGAATTAAAATTCATGTTTGTGTAGCTGGTAGTGTGGTGGTATGTATAATGAATAGATGGTCATGAGTTTGTTTACAATTATAGCTCAAACGACCACACACTCCAGCGTCGTTCGGAGAGAAAAGTGCTGGCATGCTACGTTTCTATCTATTATATTCGCAACACCGCCAGATGATGCAAGAGCACCTTGACGGTCTTTTCTAAAGATGACATAGCTACAGAGAAGGTTTCTATGTTTTGGGATAAGGTGTGTCTCCTTTACACACAGCCCTTTTGTACAAAATTTCCTTAGGAGTTCTTGTAAGTCGTTTGTGTAGCAGTCCTCTCACATTCCATTGTAGTATGTTGTCCTTGTTGAAGGTGCTATGTGCTGTGTGTCGCGAAGGAGACTTATCTTACAGAGCCTTTATTAGGCCCTAAAACTAGGGTTCTGTTTTTTTA